TTCGTTTCCTTGTGTATCTATTAAACGACTATCTTTTTGTATAGTATATATAATCCGATGAAATTTGTCGATTTTATTGCTCTTTTGATAAAAAGATCAGTAAAAGAAATCTAAAATAATTATGAAGTTACCTATTTTGAAGATAATGAGTACTATATAAATCTTATATAATATATAAAACTATCAAGCCTCATAAGATAAAACCATCATAGCATGATTTATTACTTAAAACAATAATTGCATAAATATATATACATAATTTATAATTCTTTATGTTTTAACATAAGTTTAAATAATAACAAAATTTAAAATAACACATACATACAACAGGAGAGATAATTGATATGATTATTGTTTAAAAATTGGGGTTTATACAGTAATTACCACCTTAGATAACTTCATTAAAATTTAATTATAATTATATACAGAAATGCGTGAAAATTTGTTCGGCGGAAGGTAATTCATATTTTACTTAACATTCGCATAAATTCACATCGGATAATTTATTTTTCAAATTATTGCTACAGTATTACAATTGTATAGAATAGAAATTCTATATATTGATTTAGATGATACTACTACTTTAAAAAAACAGTAATGCAAAATCGTTCCGCAAGCAAAATAAAATAGTTTTTTTTAAATTTTTATTTCTAAAATAATTTTTATATAATAAACACTTTTATTTCTCTCCTTTAAGCTTTTTATTTAAAACATAACAGGTATACTCCATATTTATAAAGTATTTCATAACACATCTCTAAATATTGATAGGCCTCTCCCCAGAATTTTGTACATCATTTAGTGATATTTACCCAATTTTTCTAATTTTCTTTTTCTAATTGCTAATCAATGTAGAGAATGATAATATTCTTTACCTGAAGTACGATAGGTTAACGATTCACTGCGTCGTCGTCTCGCATAATGCCACCAGACATGTGATATACTTTGCAGTATAAATGTTGTAATTACATTGCCCAGATTGCTATTGCACTATTTAAGGTATTTTAAGTCATTGTTTGTTATGAAGTCTAATAACTTGTAAAAATATTAAAGGATACAATTGATTTTAATTTATAATTAAGAAAAGATAATTAAGATATAACAAGACTATAATTTTTGTTCTCATGCCCTATTTACTGGCATCAATGTGAATTTGAGTTGGAACATAAGAACTGAAAAGTTTTAAAACAAGTTATAAACTACAATAAGGGGTCCTTTGCTGCATTTTACTAACTCTCCTAGTAAGATCAGTCAATGGGTTAGATACTTAGGAAAGGTTAGGAAATTATTTTATTGCTGCTATTTTCTCTTATATGGGCCATATCATACCCCGCTCCATTTGTTGTTCTAAGAACTCTACGCTTTTTTTCAAGAAAGAGCATTTCTTCCATTTTATTAATAAGTTATATTTTTCGGTAAAAGTAATATTTCTGTTTCTTAATACCGTTTTCTTTATAGTCAGATGAATGTGATGTCACACAGAGCAGATCCTCTTTTCTTGATATTAAATTTTGGAGTATTGTACAAATTTTTACGTACGATTCTAATGTCGCAGGTGAATTATATTAACTAAAAGGTAACTTGCAAAATTTGCCCTGTCCACCATTACGACAAATGATGTATACTTCATATTTACTTCGCTAAATCGACAAGCGATTTATTGTGGACTTTTATTTGGAATTTTAACGAATATTCTTCAATCATCAGAAGAATATTTACTTTTACAAATTTAAAAATTGTGAAAAAGATTGCTAATTGCTAACAAATCTATGCTTATTAAGGCATAAATGTTTTTAACTATTATTAGTTTTGATGTAACAGAAATTTTTAAACTTTCCTAAATTATTGTTATTGTTTTGAATTCTCTATTCATTTTAATTTTTCAATAAGTATTTCAAATTTATAAAAGATTTAGTGTGCCTTGGGTTGGGGCACATACGAAACTTTACTGATTATGAAAACACTAGCCGCACGGAGCGGTACGCAGATCTTAGATCAGTCATCGAATAATCCCGAAGCTTTTGAGGTATACATAAATTAGTCAGTGAGAAGGGTGGGGGGGACTCTGAGAAACCCCCAGTTATCAAAGAGTAAAAATGCCCACACGCACTAACTCGGAAAAGGCTCAACATAAAAAAAACAATATTTAACAGATTGCAACAGTCATATCAATATATCGATAAGATACTTTAGCAAAAGACTTCTTCCTTTTTGCCGTCTTTACTTTTGAGCGGTCGCATATAATTAATGTCTAATTCAAATCAGTTTTTTGAAAATTAAATCGAACTGAATGCGTTTTTTACTTCCATTGCATTATACATTTTTCTTTACATTACATTTCTTTTTATTTATTTCAGCTGTGATTTTACAAGTTTTACAATGTTTGAATGCGGGAATAATAGTATATTAATAACTGTACAAAAATATTTTTGTCAACTAAATCCTTTAGCAGAAAAAATTATAAGCGATATAAATGACATAAAATCAAACTATGGTCAAGTTTGGACTAATTTAAATCAAAATGAGCAAAACGATATAATCAATGACACGTTAATTAATCCTGAAATTTCTTTTTTGTATGATTCGTCATCTAAATCATTGAATTTAACAAATACTCGAGATGTATCTGAAATCGTTTTCCAACCTAATCCAATCGAGTCACATACTACTGTAGTTTCAAAAGATTTTGACAAAACTTCACCAAATGACACAGATGTGACGAAACCAAATAACGCGATATTAGTCAAAAATAAAGAAAGCAGTATAACAGGATATGATGGACATAACCTTCGCACATTTAGACTACAAAAAGTTGCGCTAAAAGCAATACATGATGGCAATTGTGAAGACGAACACTCAAGTCCATTCAGTTATCGCACAAAATCACAAATAAATTTAACAATATTCTTTAGTGATTATACCAAAGCAAAAACGGATAGTACAACGGTTTCTGAAACTAGAAATGATAGAACTTTAATACCAGCAGTTCAGCAAAGTTTTCAAACATTTAATTCTGAAATTGTAAAAATGAAGAATGGGAAAACAACTGAAAATGAAGAGAATAAGGTTGATAAAATTAAAGAAAAAGGTACATACACTGTATTTTCAGAGAATATTAGTACCGAAACTAAAAAAACCGAGTCATGTTTTAAGTCGTTTATAAAACCACCATTCAATTCAGAAACGAATAAAGTTATACATATGCCATCGATTGATAATGAAGAAAGCTTTAACTTAATGGATTATTACAGGAATGATACTCTTATGACTTCCTCGTCCTCTTCTGTAGCAACTTCAGATGATGATGAAAAAACGATATGCGAAAACGTTATGTTACTGGATAAAGATAATAATTTGAGAAAAGGGTTTGATTTCTTAAATAATTGGTAATAATTTTTGAATACTTTATTGTATTTTATATATTTTATAGATATTTAAGATTTATAATCAATTTTTCTCATATTTAGATTTTGTACTTTAATTTATAGTAACATATTTTATAAAAGTCAAAGAAATAAAAAATGAAATCCTTTTAAAAAATTCGAGTTCTTTTGTATTTCATTAAAAAATGATTTGGCACTACGTAGTTTTTCAAGATCCCATTTTTTTATCATAAAAAATATACTTAATTTACGAAAAATTTAACGTGTCGTTATCATCTGTTGGAATTTATCAAATGTAGAACACACCTTTACAATAAAACGCGTTGTTTGCTTTTCGAGTGTATAATCACAACTGTCGTTATTTATTAAATTAAATTATGTAAGACTAAATAAAAGCTTATTAAAGCTTGACAAAATATCTATATATGTGTAATGTTATTAACATTGTGGTAGGATTTAACTTCAACACTCCTCCTCAATGTTTATAACATAAAATAATATACTTCATTTTACTACAACATAAAATACTAACTTATAATATGTACAATTTCATCAATTCAATAATTTTTATAAATATCATTCATCATTCATTATTTTAATCCAAGAGCCATAGTTAATTTACAATGCTTAATTTTTTGTAAGTTCTTGGTAAAGATATCTGCCAACATTATATCAGTTGGACAGTATTGTAAATCAATCTCTTTATTACTATATGCTTCACGAACAAAGTGATATTTTATATCTATGTGCTTACTGCGAGCATGATATACAGGATTTTTGATTAAATTCATAGCACTCATACTGTCACTATTTATCATAATTGTTCCAATATCACTAAGTCCTATTAGTTCTGACCAAAGTTTTTTTAAATATATAGCTTCTTTGGCTGCAGCAGAAATCGCCATATACTCCGCTTCTGTGCTGATCAGAGCCACTGTAGTCTGTTTTTTGCTCTCCCAACTGAATACACTTCCTGCCAAGATAAACGCATAGCCCGTATAAGATTTTCGATCAGTTGCATCGCCTCCCCAATCTGCATCTACATACGCTTTAATTGCTGCACCACTCTTATTGTAATGCAGTTTCATGTCGATGGTTTTGCTAAGATATCGTAGAATATGCTTTGCTGCCGTTAAATGCTCAGAGTGGGGATTACAATTTCTCTGGGCTAGTTTGCATACTGAGTGCAATATATCAGGTCTTGTATTAATAGCAATATACATTAGTGAGCCAATCAATGACTGGTATTCCGTTATATCAACTTTATTACAACTTTCATTTATGCAATGTACCTGAAAGTTTGTCTCAAGAGGGGTAGAGACTGGGCGACACACACTCATACGATTTTTCTTTAAGAGCTGTAATACAAGTTGTTTTTGACTAATAGTCAAAGCACCAGTTGGGTTTTCACGCTCCACTTCCATACCCAGAAAATGATTTATAGGACCCTTATTTACTATCTGAAAAACATTAGAGATTTTCTTTATTATTGCGCCCAACTCACCTAGGTCTGTACACACAAGTAACAAATCATCCACATACACTGCGATGATATTCAAACATTTATTGTTATTTTTTGTGTATACACATGGTTCGCTTCGGCATGAGACAAATTCAATCTGGAATGCCACATTCGGCCTGACTGTTTAAGTCCATATAGAGATTTTTTGAGCTGAAGCACTTTATTATCGTCTTTCTCGAATAATTTCGGTTGCTCCATAAAAATTGTTTCTTCGAGATTACCATTCAAATATGCTGATGAAACGTCAAGGTGATGGACATGAAGTTCATATTCTACTGCTATAGCTAAAATCATAAAAAATGTTGAAGTTATGAAAGTCAACTGCTTTGCTTGTTGGCGAAAGGGGATATGTAACTCGTTGGTTAAAGCACCGTATTCCTTCCATAATTGAGTTTATTTTGGGCAGTTTTCTGTTATGACTTAGTAGTAAAAGCAATTAATTGCATTAAAAAAATTTTTTTTGTTATACAAATTTTATCTAACCAAGAATTCGTAATAATTCCAACGAAGTCTTGGTCTACCTCTACACCTTTTTCCAACTGTTGTTTCAAAGATTTTTTTGCTGGAGTATTGTTAGCAAATTGTTCATTGTCATGACATGACCAAACCAGCTAAGCCGCTGGGTGACGTTAGTTGACGAAGAACACTTCTCTCGAATTCTCCCAGTGCTGCTTCATCATTTTGAGGTGGCGTCTTTGTGTCTGCGAGCCCATAGTAATTTTTAGTCTGATCTCCAGGTTGACATCGTTGTTCTTTGTTATGGCGGTGTCAAGAAGTTATAGACGCCACCCACCACTTCAGCATGGATAATTTGTGCTTTTAGCCGATATTTCAGTCGTTTTGCTCTCATTTACTGTTAATCCCATTTTCACAGATCCATTTTCGATTGCAATGTAGGCAACAGTGATGTCAATATCGTCGCCATAAACAGAAAGCTGGATACACTTGTAAAATACTGTGCTATTACAATGAATACTTGCTCTCCACATTATCTCTTCTATGATGAAATTAAATAGTTCACACGACAAGTGATCTCTTCAGCCACGTACAGTATCAAATGGTTTGTAGAGGCTCAATATTTTCTTGAATGCAGAGTCGTATAAATATTGCAGGGATACCGAGTTCTGATATTGCGGGGTAAACGGGATCCCTCATGAGGCTATCGATAGTCTCATAAGGGATCGATAAAAAGATGGTGGGTGTCGATGTTATAGATGCGCGCTTTTTTCAGGATTTATTACAGTATTAATATCGTTAATGGTGGAGTGATCAGATATTGGGCCTTATATGCACTATTTAAGGCCCAATCAATGAGTTGACATGTGACTTTAACTGTTTATACAGTTCAATTGAAAGTACCTTATACGCGACAAGTATTAGGATGATCTCACAAAAGTTTATTCAAGGCAGGACAGAGGGTACTAAAATTCCAATCAATGGGCATACTTTCTTCTAAACATATTCTGCAGATAAGTTGATTCATTCAGCACATTACCGTCAGTCTTCTACAACTCTACAGCTAGGTCATCTGCACCTGCCACACATTCACTTCGTTATGACTAGGTCATGGAATTTCAACATTATTATTTCCGAGAACATTTTTACAAAACTGAATTTGATGTTATCATCGCCAGAAAATAATTTGAAGAAATATTTTTTCATATTTTCAATACACTCTGTGTATCTTTAATCAGATTATTATTTTCAGTGGCGGCGATGTCGGCCTATTGTTTGTCTCTTATAACGCGATAAAGAAAATCTTTTACCAATGGAGAACATCAGTAACAAATACAAAATCATATTTTCATTTTCAACCCCAGAATCGCTACTAATGCACATTTTGTTTCTATTTGTGGTCCCAAATTTTAACGGTTGCTTCTGTAATAAAAATTATGCGCCGTGAATAGCGGTATTTGAGCTGTTATTGTTGTTAGTTTGTTTTTGTTTGTGTCCGTTATTCAAACAGCTCGAATAATGGACTAAAAAAGGTTCAGTTCAGTCTTTTGAACTGTATGAGGAACTGCTGCTTTTAAAATCGAATTTACTAGACTCAGTCAACGATATAAAGCAACTCATCCAGTATATTAAAGAAAATAATTTAGAAGAAGTATATCCGAATGTTTATAGTAACTACAATCATGCCCACAGTTGCAGTCAATACAGATTCTGCTGAAAGAAGCTTCTCAAAGCTAAAATTGATTAAGACTAAGTCAAGGAAGACTATTTGTATTTGCAATTTTATCAATTGAAGCGAAACTACCAGCTGGAGCAAATTATCATATAATTTAAAAAAAATTCATTGAAGCTAAATGAAGGAAAATTTATTTATTTTATTTTGTGTTTTTTTTATTATGATTACCAATAAAATAAAATGATAAGTGAATGTAAATTATTTACTTTTATAACTCGGTAATGCAACGGACCTCGCAATTTTAATTTCACCGAAGCCCAAAGCTGGTCTAGCTTCATTACTGATTATTTTACTGGTTAATGTAAATATTCCAGTGTTAAAACATTGAGTCAGATAGTTGACATTTTTAATTTGCGGACATAATTCCTGCTTGGGTACATTCGATTTTCTGCCGCTAGCGCCTTTATTGATCTCATTTTTTCCGTTTGAAGAGGTGACTTACTGCTTTCTTATCTCTCGGCATTGTTCGTGCAGGTCTCGCGTAGCTACTGACTGCAGGAATCTTCTATAGGCCGCGTTATTTTCAGCAGTAACCTGGTAACAGTTCTCATTGAACTATTGCCTTTGACGTGTGGACATTGAAAATCTAGGACAACTCTCAAAGACTTGATTACAATGCGGAGAAGTATTGTTTATCTCCCGAGATCGTAAATAACTAACGTCAAGTTCTTACTGTGTATGGAAACGCGTGTTGTAAGTTACATTCGTATCTCGGCTGCGACAATATAGCGACCGGGTTGATATTTGGATTACGATATGAACGTATGTAACGTCAGGCACAGTTGAAGCGAGTCCTGTATCAATCACAGGGTGATCTTATTAGTTTCATATCTATTGATCGTAAGAGGGTCACACTCCATTATGAATATCGGAGTGGGGGAATCTGGTGCTACCATGTTTCACGGTGCATCGAAATCAATCAGTGTCAGATCTTTGTTAAAGGTATTTTTATGGAGGTTGAATTCTACGACTTTTGTGATAAAATCTCCGAGACCTGTTTTAAGTAATTTCCTTCTGTCGGCGCGTGCGTACAAATTGACAAAAGTTTTTATTTTACTGGTGTGAAACGTTGCATTTACATTTGTTGTGGATTTCCACTGGTTGGATAGAGGCACCTTTCGAACAGTCCAAGTGCATATCTGTAAACCATTGTCTTTGTGGGTATGCATATTCGCAAAGTATGGTCAGATAAATACATATTCAACGGTTATAATTTAAATGTGATTTGCGCAATCCACGTGGGAACAGTCTTTTAAATATCACATATAAACGTACTATGCGAAAGACTGAAGCTAATCATCA